AGTTTGCATATGTAACCATCATCTTCATCATGTTCAGCTTTCTTTCCTTATAACCCACAATCATCTACCACAATTTCTTGGCATTAAAGAAACCTGGTTCATTGCTCCGGGCTTATAAAGGGAGCAACAAACCAGGTTCCTGGCTTTCATATGGCATGATAACTTAAATTCAGGTTTGTTAAGCCACTCGGGACCAAATGCATCTTCTTCCCCATAAACCAGGCTTTGCCAGAAGGAACTTTTCCACTTACCACTCAAGAGCAACCAAAAGCGTGCTGTTTGAAAAGCATAAAAATATGTCAGAAGGCGGCCAGAAGCACCAACTAAAACTGAATACTTACACATAGGCCAGGGTGGCACTGAAATGCTTGTAAATATAAGTTTCCAATACAGGATTAAAATGCTGAAATTTGATGTCTCCAATCAGGGAAATAATAAATACCTATTTAAAAAGGGAGAGATGGAAGCCATAAGTAGAGTTGTATAGATTTCTTTTTGGTTTCATACCATCCTTTTTAAAGTGTGCATACATGTGTGCGTCTAGAACATGACAAACAGCAGGTGCCTTTAACCTCTCTAAATCTCTGGACCATCTCAGTCAATTCATTAACAGATGCTTGTTCTTCTCTGCTGCCGCACTCTACAGTGCTAAAACCGGGGTAGCTCGGCTCACGAACTCCATCCGTTCCAGGACTCTGGTTGGGGCCCAAATTGGTTGTGAGCCAAGTCAAATTTCTCCGTAAGGGCCAATGTAAATAAGGTTAATCCGTTCTGCAACTATTTTTTTTACTCACAAAAATTTGTGATTGTGCAGGGGTGGGGAAGATGGGCACAATTGCGGGTGCGCTGGGGGGGAGGCGCGTGGGGCCGTGCTTGGGTAGAGAACATGGGTGCAATCGCGGCCCTCTCCCCTCCCCAGCACGACCGCGATCGTGCCCATGCAGGGAAGGCAGGTACACTTGTGATCGTCGCCCGATGCAGAGTTCGGGACCTCGGCAAAATTTTTATGAAATTTCTGTTCACAACCGGATTTGGTCATGGAGTGAGGCATTCATGAGCTGAGGCACCACTGCAGTTTGGGAGGACAGGCTGACCTATATACATATGCTGTCACTGAATAAAATGACAACATTTTAGAAAAGTGAGCAATACCTCTTCTTTTCCAACCATAATTCTAAGGACTAGAAATATCCTCCTTTCAAAACAGAGCATCATGTTTCAGAGAAGTCTGCCAGACACACAAGAGCTTGCAGTACAGGCTGTAGCTAAAGATAGGGTCAGTTTCCAATCTACTGTTTATCTTTCTTGGAACTCAACAAGAGCTTTTCAGAGCTGCCATAAAACGAATACTCGCTCAAACGTTTTCTTTGGAACTAGTGTTTCTTCAAAGAACTTGAAGAGCAACCCAAGAAGAGGTTACTTCATAATGCAAACTATCCTTCGAACGTGCTGTGCTTGATGGCTGGTTTGTGCACATGCCGGCCTGACACAACCGGAGAGAGATTGTCGGCGATGTGATCGAGACCTTCCAGCGAGGTGACGGAATCCATGAAGACCTGATGAAGGACGTGCAGATGGGCCAGCAACTTACCAAGGCATCAAACACAAGGAAGTCATACGATTCGTTGTCGGACATCTCCATCATTATACTGAACAGTGCATCCAGCGTGTCTTGTAGGAACTACAGGTGCGAAAGAGGATTTGGGAGGGGAGGCAGAAACTAAGGTTATTTTGCTGCAGCTCCTGTGACCCCCATTCAGTTTTGTCTCCAGACAGGGATGCGGCATCTCTGGCCCACTCCAGGGCTCCCCAGGTGGCCATGCCCCTTGCTCCCCCCTTTCTCCCCCACTCACAAATTGTTTGGTAGTTTCCTGGGTTTTGTGCATCTTTGTTCCCAGTCTAGAACATTGAACTGGCTCCCCCTGAGGGCAGGTCGCTGGCAGTGAAGCTATAAGTTAAAACATGCTGGAATTTTGGCCTCATCCTGTTTGCCTTGGGTGCCACTCACTGCAGACCCCAAAAGCCGGGCCTCTGACCCTGCTGCAAGCAGACTTCTGGCTTGCACAAGCCGATCTCTTTGTCACTAGAGTGCTGCAGTCTGCCGGTGGAGCTGAGCACCATGGAGCGCCTGGGGCAGAACCCGTCGGCCACTGCACCCCTACTAGGGAATGCATGCATCTGCGTGTGTGTTAGCTTAGATCAGGGATCTTGATAGATCGCTCCAAGAAACCCTTGAAGATGCAGCACCCAGAGATCTACCAAGAGATCCCGATATAAATTCTGCCTCTTCCTGCTTTAGAAACTGGAAAGGTGCTTGGCAAACATGAGACGTCGGATGGGATTAGTGTGACGGGAAAGGCTCATTGCTGAAGTATAACCTTCTGCATAGTTTTCACCCTCCCCCATTTGACATGCCAGAAGAAAGGGACAACTCCAAATTCTCGTATTTGTTTCGTGACCAATACTGCACAAAGGAGGACAATCACACCTCACAGTTTTGCATTTTGCCCCTGAAAGAATGCATGCCCGGCAGAGGATGTGCTGCGGCATTAGAGCGCCTGTCTCTCCCAGGACTGGGCGGTTTGATTATAGGTTGCAAAGAGGCACATTTATGCAAACAACCTCATGCATAATAACAACGCCAAGTATGCTATCACAGGTAATTAGCAGAACCGATTCCTTAAACATCTTTAAAATCATGTCAGATGTTCTCCGAGTCAGTTCTTTAAATTCTCATCTCTCTGATCCTAGATCTGCAGATGTGTATATAATGCAACTGGAGGTCCTACTAAAAACCACCAGATTATAAACTGGGCCCTTCCCAATTATTTGCAAACCATGTAATACCTTGACGATTTCTCCTCCTTCCACCTCCATCAGCTTCTTCAGGTTGTGTGCTATGTTCTGGGAGTTTGAACGCCAGTTCAGCAGTCCCAGTAGGTCAACTGGCAAGGGCAAAACAGTAAGGATTAGATCACAAGAAGCAAGAGAGTCAACTTCCTGGAACAGCTATGGAACCAAGCCAAAAGAGAAGCAGTGCTTATTTCTGGCAGAGGTGGAGAACCTCAGCCTGAGGCCCAAATTTGCCCCATCTGCAGTTGCCCCAACTCCTTCCTTGAATCTACCCCTTTCCAGGTGGTTTCCCAGCTTTCTGCCCAGTTTTCTCCTCACTCAACTGAAAGATTGAAATGTGTCTCCGAAAGCTTAATCACGGTCAACAAGAGCTGTAAATTAAAATATACCGGTGGTTTTGGCCACACACTCAATTTTGTCTTTGGCCCTGCTCACCACTAGACTACGACTTCCAAGGCCCGGCTGCACACGGAATTTGGTCCTTGGGTTGAAACGGATTCAACAACCATGAAGGAAGAGGAAGGACAAGACGTGCTGGTGCTGTGAACACAGCACTGCCTCTGCCTTGTGCACATACATATTTCAAGTTCTTCCACTCTCAGATGTGTTGCTATGGCTACAAGCCATCAAGGCATCCCCAGCTTATGGGGACCCTTTGAACGAAAGCCTTCCAAAATGTCCTGGCCGTGCCAACCCTGCTCGGTGCTTCCAGAATCGAGGCTGGGGCTTTCCTGGGTCAACCCACCTCATAGCTGCTCTTCCCTTTCTTCTTGTGCCTTTGGGTTTCCCTGGCATGATTGTCTTCTCTGCCTTCTCGTGTTGTGCCCAAAGCATGACAGCCTCGGGTGCCCCATTTTTGCTCCTAAGGAAAGCTCTGCCTCGAGGACCCACTTGCCCACCCTTCCGTCAGGTCAGTCCAGGGCACTGGCAAAGCTCTCCTGCAGCACCAGGTTTCCAGTGCATTTCCCCCCATCGGCTTGGTCACTGTCCAGCTTCCAAAGCCATATACAGAGATCAAATTTACCCCGGTACAAACCCACATTGCAAGTTTCTTTTACAGCAGGTATGTGTAAATTATGCACAGCTTTCCCAGAAAACTCCTCCGGGAAGCTGGCTGGTCACCACGTGAACACAGCACGGGTCGAGATGGACCCTCGGTCTGGGTCTTATGCCCATCACTGCTGCCCCCACCACTTGGCTGCTTATTCTGAATTGCCCTGGGGAGACGGCACGGCATTTTTTCTCATTACCTGCACCAGCCCCAAGGGTCAAGTTGGACATGGTGTTTGGAAGACCTGTGAGTGAAGACCTGACCTCCACTGTTTCCCTCCCCACACAACCTTTATTCACAGTCAGGACTGCACAAATGGAGAAAGGGGAGTTTATTTATTTATTTGTTTATTTGTTTATTTATTTATTAAAACATTTTTATGCCGCCCCATTTGCCGAAGCCTCGGGGCGGCTTACAATCCTTCTCCTCATCCAATTTCATCCAATTAACCCTCCCCCCCCCGCCCCATTTCCCAGGACTGGTGTTTGCCCTGTTTGGCAAAGATACTGGGATCACACAACGACACACAGGTGCCTCCTTGTGGGCCAAGGAGCAGCTTCAGGGCATGTGCACCCAATTCAGACTGAGCAACGAGAGCAGTGCAAATGGCTCGATGCTTCCCCACCATCATATGGTGCCCCTGGAGCTACTGCTTCTTGCTCCTGCCTAGCCTCACCCTGTGACCACCGGCACGAAACAAGGATCTCGGATAGTGCCCTAAAGGACAATCCACTCTCACTTCACTTGCACTTTCCCAGACTTAATGGCGGCCAAACCTACCATTCTGTGTCAGCTTCGTGGAGCAGATGAGTGTCGCGATCTGGAAGCTGTCTTTGGTGCTGTCTTTGGTTGGGGTGAAGTTGGCTGTGTGATGCTTGGCTGGAAGACCTTCCCGGTCCTCCATTTCTACCTTGGTGGCAGGAAGACTCAAGTAAAACTTAGCATCTTCCATTTTCTTGTTCTCTCCCTGTTGACAGCATCAAAAAGATTCCTTCAGGCACCACAGACCATCTTTTCCCAACCTCATGCCTCACAGATCACCTCTCCTCAGGAGTTTCAGTCCAGCATCTCTGCAAGGCACCATGCTAAGGAAAGCTGCCTAAGATGCTACACAATCAGATACAACCAGTCCGGATTCTAACCATTTTCCCTGTGCTGAGCCAGGTGGGGCAGCAAAGCATTCGGAGTGTCACTGGTAAGGGCACCAGAACATAATTTATCTGTGCAATAATGGCCTCCCCCAAAGAACCGATTATTGGATCTAGCCAAAACTTAGGCTTAAATAAAGCATTAGCTGTATTTGCTGAATAAGATGCCGTCTAAATTCCAGAGATGCTGAAGTGGTGATGCATTTGGTGATGGTGTCCACAGCAATTTCTGAAATTCCTAAATATGTCCATGGGCCCAAAGACCAAGGACGTCAAAAACCGACCATACCTTATAAACTATCAAGTTATGCCTGCCGTCCCGCAAAGTGGTGCCATCCGCATTCATCAGCTTCACAAAAGCCAGTCCAAACGCTCTTTCAGATTTATCTCGTGCTGCCCAGGAAAACAAAATTTGTTATTTTGTCATTATTTGCTTTCCGGTGCCAGGCCAAGACCTTTTTATTTAAACGGCATTTTAATTGTTGATTTTATTTATTGATTTTAACAACTTTGGCCAGGATGTCTCCAACTGCATTTTATTGTATATTTATTTATTTGTAAGCCGCCCCAAGGCTTAGGCGAATGGGGCGGCATAGAAGTCCGCTAAATAAATAAATAAATAAATAAATAAATAAATAAATAAATAAATAAATAAATAAAAATGGAAGGACACTCCTTACTACTGCTCTGATCACCCAGCGCTGGCCCAAAATGCCCTCTTGTCTGTACAAAATCCTCCTCCCAAGTCAAATCTGGGAACCCTCCATGAAAGAAATTAGGAGAGTAAGTACCCGGAGGAGGGCTTTCTCTGCGGTGGCGCCCAACCTATGGAATTCACTCCCCAAAGAGGTCCGCCTGGCACCGTCGTTACTGGTTTTTCGGCGCCAGGTAAAGACCTTTTTATTTAAACAACATTTCAATTGTTAAAACATATGATCTGGCCTGGGCAACTTCTTCTTCCTTCTCTTTCTCCTCCTATATTTTTATTTTATACTGATAATTTTAATTTTGTATTTGTAAATCAATGTATTTTTTGTATTTTTATATTTAATGGTAATTTATTATGTACTATTGTATTTCAATGTATTTTATCATGTTGTAAGCCGCCCCGAGGTTTCGGCAAGGGGCGGCATAGAAATGTTATAATAATAATAATAATAATAATAATAATAATAATAATAAAAAATCAGCCTTTCCAGTGTGAGGTCAGTCCCTCCTTGGCTAGTGTGTTCAATCCTGCACAGGCCACTCAACCTGGCAAATCTGCAAAACTGATGGGCAGTGGGGACCAAAGGCACTCTTTGCTGGGGCTGGAACTCTCTTAGCGCTGGGCCAAAGCACAGTCCATGCGTCATCTTCTCTCCCCTCCCCTGGGTCTGAAAATATGTTTGTCCGCCTGCATTTGACAGAAGGGTGGCTGCCCAGCTCTCAAGTACTTACATTCCTGTGATGATCGATGACGGAAAGTAAATCTTAAGTGGTATCGGCTGACCTCTTTTATTTCTATGGATACCTGTATGAGACATAAGAGGGGTAACCACAGCAGGTACCAGCAGAATGGCAGCTTGTTGTACAGGTGATTCCATTTTGGCTGTGTAAGGATGCAACATCTGCTGTCACTGTACACCAGCCCCCCCCCCCGGCCCCCCTCGGATTTCTAGAATATGGGAAAGACGCTTGCAATATTCATGCTCTCCATCTGCCCCTGCACACACGGCATAATCTCACCTTTACAGTTTCATACCAGCAGGGCTGCTTGACTTGATAGTAGACAACAGACTTGTATTCTGAGATTCCTTCATAACCAGCACCCGGATGGATGGCTTTCTTTGGAGGAAGGACAGCACCGACAAAAGAAGAAGTTGGTAATCAGTCGGGGGGTGGGGGACATCTTTCACATCAGCCTTGGATTCACCAGAGCAAAGTGTACCTTTGCAGTGTCTCTACAAAATGTTTGGCAGAAGGTACACAGAAGGTCCCAGGTTTTAGAGCTGTTTAAAAATTCTCCACCCTAGTTGTAGGCAGAGGCGCAAATAAGACAATTTCAAAGAACGTACCCAGGAAAGGAAATGGTCTCCAATATTTCCTCGCCACGGGCAGGGCTTGTAGCCCAACGTTTTCCTCCTTTCTCAAGGGGGTTTCATTTTTCCTGCTGCCACGTGTCCTGCAGGAGAACTTCTGGCAAAGCACTACCAAGTTTAATCTCCACACAGGTGCAGAAAAGATGGTAGCCAGCACAGACCCATCTTCCCTATCTTGGTGCCTTCCAGATCTTTTGGACTGCAATCCTGATCCGTTCCTGCCATAAGCAGGGTCAATTGTCAAGAATGCCGGGAGGTGCCAAAACCTCTGGAGGGCACCGGGCTGGTACAGACCTCAAACCAGATGGGCCAATGGCCTGATTCATTGTAAGGCAGCTTAATTCAGCGTGATTCACGCGCATGGCAAAAATGACTGCCGAGTCTAGAACGGCAGGAGTGTGATCCACGGGGGCTCAGCGACTCAGCAGTGGTCCAGCTGCCAACGGCTTGGCAAGGAAACCTGCTGGGTACCGATCCTCATCTAGCACCCAAGACAGAAAGACGCGTACAACGCGGAGCTTAGTGGCGAGAAGTTCTATTGTTGGCTCCCTAAAGTCTGATTCCAAATATATGCCGACAGCTGTAGACAAGGGGACAGAGCTGCTGGCAAGGTTAGGAATCCAGACCTCGGCCCTCTACAGCAATAATGCTCACTTAAGACCTTCATCTTCTTGCAGGCATTTAACTGCATATCATCATCATCTGTTAAGTAGGTCTCGAATTTTTCTTGCTGCAGATGCTCTAAAATTGTTTTAGAGATGCACGTGTGTCCACACCTGTTGCTTGTTTACAGATCTGGATCTGCACATGTTTATAATTGATTTTTCCCCAATGCTGCCCAAGAGCTGAAGCTCTAATGTATGTTGAAGGTTTTGATTTTTGTTAATGGTCCACACAGCTCAAGTTACTGGGCAATTCAGACACATAATTAAAAAAGTGAAAAATATAGCACTCAACAATAAATAGATGGAAGTGGTACACAACACTCCATTCAGAAACACGCGAGTCCATTTGGATCAAACCAAAGGCCCTTAAGGGAGGCCTTTAAACAAATTAAACAAACATAAATAAATATGTGGAAAATGAGAGCAGTAACTCCCTTCCTGCCCAATGTAGAAAGGCAAAATTCATGTCTGCTTCCAATGTGCAGAACCTTGCATTTAGATACCCTCCTTCCAAGCCTGGCTGATTCATTTAGTCAGCTGGACTTTCCCACTGGAAGTCTGTCTAAGCTTTTCCTAAAGTCACCTAACCGCGTAAGTTAAACGATGCATTGTGTGAAGAAAATTCTGTCATTTGGTGATCTGCCTGCCGGCAAAGGCTTCTGTAATTTACTGTTCTTTAGCCTAGGCTTTCCTAGCTGCTTTAAAAAGAGAAGGGGGCATGATACATAAACATTTCATTATTTTGCCTCCCATCATGCCCTGGCAGCAGGAAGATGATGGGAATTGCAATCCAGCACCTGGTGATCCAGAAGCTGCTCCCTACCTCTAAGAGATTGCCATCTTCATCGTGAACAGACATGGTGACCTCTACGTTTTTGGGGGTCTTCTTTTTCCCTTTGTCAAATTCTCCATGCATCAGGGTGATGTAGATGTCATTCCGAACTTCGCCTAGAACAATGTGGAAGATTACAATAAGGCTGACATCAGTGCCCCCCCACCCCCGCCCCTTGAGAAGTTCTGGACTTCAGATTTCATCATAACCAGCCAGCAGTTTGGGATGATGGGAGTTGTATTCCATGGCACAAGAAAGGTGCCAAGATGGGAAAAGCTATTCTATCCCCGTTCCCATCCCAGTTTCCTCTAGAGATGGTCTCTCATCTGTATCCACAACATGGCATGCTCCAGTCAACTCCCATCAAACTGAGACCTTCTGGCTAGGAATCATGGGTGCTGTAGTCCAACACAACTACAGGGCTTCTAATGGGATCTTCCCACCCCAGCACAACCTGACCACATATAGCAGCCTTCCCAAACCTGGAGCCCTACAAATGTTTTGGACTTCATCGCCCCAGCCAGCATTGCCAATGGTCCAGATGGCTGCATAGTCCAAAAAGCTAACTTCAGAATACTTCTTCGCTGGGCATGAGATGGGTGTCCATTTATTTATTTATTAATTCCTTGCATTTCTATACTGCCCAATGGTCAATACTTTCTGGACAGTTTGCAACAAGGAAACCCATAAAATACAACATGAAATATACTGAACACGTTTAGAAGTACTGCTTCAAATGCAAGTAAAAATCAAAGCTGAACCTAGAGGCCATGTGGGAAGGGGTTGGTTAACCCTTCCTTCCCTAAGTGCAGGACTTGAAAATCCCCTGCCCCCCACCCCCCACATGGCAATGAGGTTGGGAAAAGCCCCTTTCTGTTGGCACTAACACATTCTCAGGGCTCTGGGATACACCTGGGACCCCTGGAAATAAAATACTGTGGGGTGGAATCCTGCGACTGCTAGGGAGATGCTACAGGGCCATCCAATTATTCAGAGCCCCAGCTCTGACCTCGGAAATCTGTTCTGCACAGTGACCCAGCAGTGGGGTTTGGGAGCGAAGCTAGGCAAAAATGGGCTCTGTCAGCAGGCAAAGTCTCCCGGTGGTGCCTCCATCGCCTTCTCCTTCCCCCTGCTCCAAGGCAAAGCTCTCCGAAGGCCGAAAACAGCTGTCCAGCGGTTTTTCAGGGAAGGAGCGGTGAGAGGTGACTTTTGCCTCTGCGTGTCTCCCGCCACCCTAGGATGCCCTAGTCCAGCCTTCTGAACGTGGAAGGTTAAGGGCAGCCCATTGGGTCGCCCTGCCCAGGACTGGGAACATGCCGAGGGAGTCGCCCAGCCGTCTGATCCAGGGACAGCTGTGCTCTCTTCGCGTCGCCCTCTTCAGCCAAGAAGTACCCACCAGGCAGGATGATCTCGGGGAAACCCATTTTGCGGGCCACCGCTGTCGATCGGTCAACAAGGTGAGAAAAGTCCTTCTGAACCTGAGCTAGGTCTCCGGGCAGCAACTTCAGAGAAATCCAGAGACCTAGGAAAATACAACCGAGGCGGCAAAATGAACATTCCTTTGATTTAATTGCTATACGGCTCAATACCCAAAGGTCTCTACTTTCAAAGGGGTGATCCCCACAGAATGTGTTAGGGGGCAGGACTGTACAGAAAAGATTTAACTCTGTGTAGGAGTCCCTTCCTTTCCCTTCCTCCAGAGACCCCTTTCCCATTCCCAGTTAGACTCTGGGAATTCAACATGGGAATGATGGGGACTGCAATCCCAGAAATGTGAAGCATAATGGGTTGGGAAGGGCTGAGGAAGATGCAGGTTGCTTTCAGCATTACCATGGCCTTATCTGTGTGGGTCCCTGGCCTCCTGAATTTGAGCTCTGAAACAAAAAGGGAACCTGGCGCAGAGTGAACCTGGGCTTTATTCTCCACTGAAGATGCTCCCTGTTATTTCTGAAGTACAGAATTCTGTACGATCCCTTAGGCAGCCCAAGTGGTGCTAACTACACACAAGAAGGAGATGTTCATTTATTATTTTTAGATCCCAGCCCCCCCCACAAAGAACATAAGGGATCCTCTTCCTCCCTATTTCAGTCTCTCAACAGTCTCGTAAGGTGGGTTAGACTGGGAGTCTGTGGCTGACCCAAAGTCACTCTGTTGGCTCCATGGCTGAGCAGGGGCTAGAATCCAGATCGCCCGAGTCCCAGTCCTGCGTTCCTAACCACTACACCACACTGCTTCTCAGCTATTAGCAGGTTTGGGGCTATTACTAGCTACTCCCAAGTTCTAGGGACCATATATCCTAAGTCTATATAAACTATGCAAATTTATAATCAGCAGAATTTATTTTAATTTCACAGGAGGCAAAGCCAATGAATTTCCCACCCAAATCATTTTGTAAACTGTCACGACTTTTAACGAATGCAGGTATAGAAAAATCTTAAAATAGAATTAAAAATAAAATCTACCCTTGATTGGCACCCTGATGGCACCCTGGCATCCCAAAGGGTAAAACAAAGTTTAGGGAGCAAGAAACACCCCACAAGGTGCTCACAAGAGCAACACAGCCATGGAATCCTGTCTGCTGGTTGGGTGAAAACTAGGAGGGGTGACAGAATGGAGTATCCTGGAAAAGGGCATGGATGGCTGGACAGAACCCCGCTGGGGAGGACTCCATGCTGCAACACTTCGTTCTCCCCTGTGGATGTTTATTTTCTCCCTCTTTTGGACTGCACAGCAAACGCAAATGGTCCTGTGCTGCACTCAGAAAAAACGGGAGCGGCTCAGATCCTGAGACCAATCACTAATGGAGTGTTTTCTCCTCTGCCTGACCTGCACCCAGTTCCCTGGAGGGTCGGGGTAACACCCAGGACAGGCCATGAAGACCCGCACCCGCAATGGAAGGGTCCACGGGAAAGTGAAGTGGATAAGAAAGGCTTTATCACTGGGTGGGCTACCCTCTTGGCCCAAGGGCCAGTGGCGCCAGGTGGGAGACTGTGCGCTCCCCATGCAGAGGACAGGGGCCGCCTCAGATTTTCCTCCTCTGGCTGCTGAGCTTGCACCACTAGGAGTGGAGAGGTTAAAGTCTTCCTCGCCTCTCAGCAATCCCCTTCAGGAGTATTATTTTCCAACCCAGCCAGGATCAATTGTTTCCTTGCCACCACTGGCAGGAAGGGGGAAATCATTCCAGCCACATCAGGATTGCTGAAGGAGAGGGAAGTTAAAACTTCCCTGGCCCAGAGATGCTACTAACGGCACTAAGAAAAGTGTGTGGGTCTCCCGAGACTTGCCGGACCCTGTGGGTAGCCCACTGCTCCATTTAGTTTGGCTCAGGCGTCTCTGAAATTGGCACAGGGCCCTCAGCTGAACGAGCTCCAGCAGCCTTGCTTGAGAAGATCTACTTCTGCTTTCGCCCTCTGAAGAAGCCGCCTCCTTCCTCTTTGCTTTGCAAACTCTGCCTCGGTGGGATTTCAGTGCAAATCTGTTGGCTGGGCATGCTGCTAATTTTATGGCAGCCTGTTCTGCACCAAGACTGCACATCTTGCTGTTGAGCAGCGGCACCGCCGGAGCCACGGAGAGCTTCAGCCGGACCTCAGAGAAGCAGCTCAGTCAGCCCAATGCTCTTGAGCAATGACCTAGCCCAGGCCTGTCTCTGTCTCCCTAACCAACTGAATTGCCCTGCACCCCCGCCCCAGGTCAGCCCTCCCCTCCCCTCCCCACCCTCCCGTGCCAAAAAGTGCCAAAAAGGCCCCCTTTGATTTGCATACCTTGCCCCTTATGATTCACTTCCTTGGCAGCAATGACTTTGTTGAAGACCGAGGTGAGGGGCTCATTCTCTCCAATCACATGGGAGGTTATTAAAGGAGCCATGATTAATTGTCGCTGTCTGATGTAGGTTTCCATGGCAATCCTGAGGAGGAGAACAAAGGGCAATGAATTTCCAGGATTCTGGTATCTAAAGGTCAACCTCAGCGCTCTTAGAATGGGGGCAGGCGATGCTGTGTTCTCTAGACATTTTGGAGTACGACACCCATAAGCCCCTGCCAGCATGGCCAACAGGCAGCGACCACAGGAGCGGTGGTCCAACAACAGGTTGTTCCCCCCGCCAAAGAGCGTGAGTGGGCAGGAGGAGGACTTGGATCTGCTGGTGAGCCAGATGGGCTAGCAAAGGTTTCTGACTCCCAGTTGTTCAACAAGGTAGCAATAAATCTCACACTCAGCACTGCACACACAGAATTGCAAGGGGCCTCCAGGTCCAACCCCTGCTCAGTGCAGGACTCCAGATTAAACCATCCCTCGCAGCGGGCTGCCCAGCTGCATCCTGAAGGTCTCCAGTGTGGGAAAACCCACAACCTCCCTAGGTCATGCGTTCCACAGTCAGGAAGGTCCTGATATCTACCCAGAATCCGGCTTCCTATAACTGGAGCCCTTATTCCCTGTCCTGCACTCTGGATGATCGAGAAGAGACCCTGTCCTTCCTCTTTGTGACAGCCTTTCAAGTACTTGCACAGTGCTATCCTATCTCCCCTCAGTCTTCTCTTCTCCAGGCTAAACATGCCCAGTTCTTTCATTCTCTCCTCATGCAGCTTCCTCCAGTCCCCAGACCATCCTTGCTGCCCTCTGCTGAAGGCTTTCCAACTTGTCCACATTTTGTCTGCAGCTCCAAATCAGGTTGCTAAGAAAGGTACACTTAGGGAAAAAACTGGGTGCAGAACTTGAGAACTTGCTCCCTGTCACAATTGCACCTTCCCAGGCTAAGCAAGTGCTCAACTCTCATCTGCCTGCCTTCCACCTGGTGCATCTTACAGGCACCATAAACACAAAGCAGGTGACATCTTGGAATATGTTTTTCCTTGTTGCAAGCCGCCCCGAGGCTTCGGCAAGGGGCGGCATAGAAATGTTCTAATAATAATAATAATAATGATGATGATGATGAGGAGGAGGAGGAGGAGGAGGAGGAGGACCTCCTTGGAGCAGGATGAGAGTTATCTCTGGGTTTTCACGTCCCTCTCTGAACAGGCTCTGAACAGGCCTGTACAGTAACTGCTGGGACAGACTTGGGTTCTCCTGCCTGTGGACATATTTATTTTGCTGGCAGGCACCTGACCTCCAAAGCAGGTCTTAGCAAGTGGGAAGGACCACACAGGAGAAGGCAGGTTCTCGGAAAACTGCAGCCAATCATCACCTTCACAAATGAACCGATCTTAGAAAGGATGGGGTCCAATGCTTGCCTTTTGAAACCTTCACCAGGATAAATTCATGCTATTAATGATTTCCATAACACTGTTTAAGATGCAGAGGGAGACACACTCCTATTTGTTTCAAACTTGCTGTTCAAATTCATCACAAATACCAGAAGCGGGCAACTTTCAGGGGTAGAGGGACACCCAAATTGCTCTCCCCCATTTTCTCAACCACCTGCCGATCAGGGGACAGGTTGCTAGGGCTGTCATCCTCTACATGACCATCTGGGAGCAAATCCCATTGAATTCAATGCGCTTTGTTTCCAAGTAGACACGCACAGGGGTGCATTGTACAGCCCCTGCTGGATAATGTTATTTGCACCCAGGTTTTTTTTCCAGCTCTCAAACTGCCCACACAGATTTATGCCCTATTTTGCCACTGGCGAACTCTCTTCTTCTTTACCTTTCATAGCAATTAAAACCAGCGGTTTTTCACATTTCCGATTCTGACATCTCATGCCAAGCGCAAATGCAGGATCCACACAAACACGCAGCTATGTAAGCCTATTTAAGCCTAATACTTACTGCTGAAAAGGAATGAAATGCTGCTTCTCTTCATCATCTACTTTCCCATGGATAATGTCAGTGATGTCCATCACTAGGATAAAACAGGGTTGGCCAATCATATTGCCGGAATAAAAGGGGCTCCAGTCACTTAACAGAAGCCAACAAGAGTTCCTTTGCAGCTGAAGCATTTACTTGATTTCAAACCAAAACCAGTATCAGAGACAAAGCTGAGCAATCTGAATGAAGGAGGTGGTCTTGTGATTCACAGCCTATCACTGTCCCCTCTTTTTTCCTCCTGCAGGGAGCTTGAGGTGGCTTGCCGAGGTCGCCTCCTTCCCATTTTATCCCCACAACAACCACCCTGAGAGGCAGGCTAGGCTGAGAGCCTGTGACTGGCCCTACGTCATCCGGTGAGCTCCGTGGCTGCGCAGGGACTTGCACCCAGGCCTCAAATCCTATTCTAGCACTCGGACCACTACAACGCACCAGCTGTGCCGCTGCCACCACTGCCTAGCCATAAACGGCAACCCATCCACGGACACCTTTCTCTGAATGCAGGCCTGGAACGGAGCCCGTGGCCTGGTTGGCACAACATGGCGACCACGAGGGGTCCTCAGCCAGGATGGGCCGCTGCGCCATCCAAATGCAGCAGGGCTTCTGCAGGGGTGGCTTGCTTCCTCACCAGCAAGCCAGCCTGAGGCGCCATGGCCTGCTCCATGGTTGCTGGTAGCCAGGGGAGCTCGCCGTGCTGTCTGAACCTGACAGGGCTGCCAGGACTGGCTCAAAAGCCATGCAGCCAAGCAGCAGAAGCCCCGCCGGCTCCTGATCAGGTGTTGCTGATGCCAGGGAATACCCCTTGCGAATATGCAAACAGGGACAGGGATAAGAATTTATCCAGCGCTTTGCAAGGGTACGAGAAGCAGCCGTCAGCAAGCACCAACATGCGCCAAAGGAGCACGTTCAGCACCTCTCCCCCGGGCATTGCCATTCTCTCTCCCTCCGTAAAATGCTGAACTGACACCTGGCATCGTCCCTTTCAAAACTTGCTTGAAGGGCTCCTTCCCAGCCCAGTTGCTGCAAAGGCGCACCTGGCTGGGATTAGCCATCCCTTTGAGGGAAAGCCAGCGTGGCGCAGGGGATAAAAGCGCGTGACTGGGACCCAGGCGTCCTGGGTTCTAGTCCCCACTCAGCCATGGAGCCAGCTGGGCGACATCGCGCCAGGCACAGACTCTCAGCCCAGCCTACCTCACAGGGTTGTTGTTGTGGGGATAAGATTGAGAGCAGGAAGAGGAGAATTGTGTAAGTTGCTTTGAGTTCCTTGAAAGGAAAAAGAATGGGCTGTGAATGTAATAAATAGATAAATAAAGAAGCAATGGGTTAACCCTGCCAGATGCTAGCAATGTAGCAAGGGCAATGCCACACTGAGGTATGTGCTGGGCATATCTACAGGGGCTTCTTTTTGGTTGGAAGGCAGTGCTCAAATAACAGATTTTTAAGAGCAAAGGTACAGTCACGTTAATTTACAGTGCTGTGATGGAGCACAGGTGGGCGCTCGGAGCCCTTCACGCTGCAGGAGGTCCTCCGGCACGGGATGAGAAAGCCTGCGATGACACAGCAGGGAAGCCACAACTTCCTGTGAGCTCACCACACCGGGCCTTGTGCACTTTGCATCAAGGGCCGAGGCAGAACTGTTTCCCCTTCTCCCCCTCTGAATTCACTCTCCTCCTCTTCCTCTACAAAGAAGGAACTGGTATGGCTTAACCTTGTGTTGATGGCATGGAGAGCAGCCACAGCTGCTGTTTTTACTCTAGAGAATGTGCAAAGGCTCTGATCCAGACTGGGACCCAAGTGTAGGGGTCAGGTGAGCTTTAACTTCACCCCCCAAACACTAACTCTCTGTCCCCAATCCAAACCAGGGATCTACATTTACTTTAGAGATACCCTGGGATGCTCCAGTTGTGCTGGACTACATTTAAAGCACTATGGGATGGGTGTAGCCCACCATACCTGGTGGCCCATGGCAGATGGGATGCTGGGAGTTGTAGTCCAAAACATATGGAGGGCAGCTAGGTGGGTAAGGCTGCTTCAAAGTAAGAAAGAAAGAGGTAGCTGCTAGCCACATTTTCGAAGCAGTTTGGCCCCACGCATATAAATGTGGAGTAGGTAAGGCCATCCTTTCCTCTCTCTGCTGCCACTAACATTCAGGTTGCTGAATCTGAATTCCAGCGTTTATTCTAAGTAATTTGCTGCCAGACATTTTACAATTTCACATTCACAGGAAATATATTTGTTCCCTTGGCCTTAGCTTGCGAATGCACGGCCAGAACAAGAAATTTCACACTTCTCAAAGTGGCATGGAGAGAAAAGATCCCATCTGAGATCCAGGAGAGCCACTACAGGTAGGAGTGGGTCAGTCTGAGACTTCCCCACAGGTTTTGGGCTTCAGATCCCATCTGCCTTGGCCAAAACATTATGGGGGGCAGGTCAAGGGAGGATGCAGCAGCCAGTCTTGGCCACAGTGGGGCAAACAGACAGATTGGTCGCCTTCCTACAGGAGAACTCCAAGCTGGGAAGGGGAGCTCTACTGAGAAACTGGACATGCTTCAACAGCACCCCCTTTTCCTGCCCTTGGCAGACTCAGCTCATTCTGGCGCAGATACCTGCCATATCAGAGAGCAAGCCCTGGTTTTGGTTTGTGCCTGAAAATCACTCCCCACCACCAAATGCATCAATCGCGTGCCTTTAAAACTTATGTTCTTTTCTCCCATGAAAATGCGTGTGTTTTTCAAATGTACACGATCTTCCTATGTCTGCTTGCGGTCAGTCCAGGTTTTGGAGGTCTGTGATTCAACTGCAAACTCAGAAACGTGCAGACTTTAACCACAGTTTGTGGGCAGGTTGATGTTCCATGCAGAAGGTATGAATTGAATAAGTTCTCATCAAAGATGAACTAAAACAAATCTCTCATACATTTCTACCTGAGTGCTGTTTCCTTCACAGAAAGATGGGTTAGGGTACAAATCAGAGGAATCAATAGCAAAAGGGGCCACTCTGCTTGTATCTTTTAATTAGGTTCACACCCAGCAAAGTGAACTGATACAAGTTAGGATGCAGCCCCAGCCCCTGAACCAATTTTGATGAGGCTGCCTTGGGAAAAGGGACTTTTGGTCCATTGCCTCCCACCTGCCACTCCAAAGGGTCTCCGGAGGCCGCAGGTGTGCTTCTTGCCTTCCTTGAGCTCCATGTGGCCCACCCGCACAATCTGGCACACCAGGCTGATTCGTGGTCGGATCAGATCCGAACTGCTGAGGTCCTGGAAGAGCAAAAGGACAGTTAAAGGGCATTGAACTCGCTTGCAAGCAAGAGAATAACAGCCCCCAGCCAGCCAACATGATAGTCCATTGCCCGCTAGGTGGGTGAACTGGATTTCTGCTTCATTGACTGAGGATGCAGCGGAGCGGGCGTTGGGCAGAGGGCCAGGAACTGAAGCAGCCACGCCTGCCTCCAAGCGATGCCCGCCACTCCCCATGCAACCAGCTTTCCTCCCAGCCCCAAACTTGCAGCAGTGGGTGGCCTTAATCCCAACCATCTCTGCCCCCGCTCAGCAGCTTGGATGGGAAGCAGGCTGCAGACCCCCTGCCCCGGTTTCTGGGCGCACTTCCCTTGGAGTGGCCCCCCAGGGACTGCCCTGCCTGTTCTCTCTTGTGGGATGCACAGAGCTCTGGCAAGACCAGCCCCAAATCACTGATTCCTGCCTACGGATGGACAAATATTGCCACCTGGACCAAAGGCAGTGTTTTCCCGACTACACAGTCCGCTAGGCTTCGGATCACGTGGGGCCCACAGGAAGTACGGGGTGCCATCCAGAGCATTGCCTACTTCTGCAGAAGCTGCCCCTGCTCATTCCAAGGGGTGGCAGTGAAGTTCCCCAGTTTCAACCAATTCCCCCAACTAGCTGCACCCCCTCTGCCCCTGCACCCCGTCCCAAAGCCTTTCCATCTCCTCTGTTCCTCCAGACTGCGTGGTGCAGGAAAGTGGGACTCGGCTGCAGTGGAAAGACACTGGTGCTTCGCTGAATGCCGGCCAAGATAGAAAACCTGCCAGAGTATACACGAGCTTACCAAGAGTGCTGCTGGGGCTCCACCTAGCCCAGCATTCTGTCCCCACAGTGGCTAGCCCACTGCCCATGGGAGCCCACAAGTAGGGCATCCATACAACAGCACCCTCCTACCCATGCTCCCCAGAAAGTGGTGTTCACAGGCATAATGCTTCTGATCCTGGAGGCACCCCGTAGCCATGAGGACGAGTAACCACTGATTTTTCCTCCTCAGTGAATCTGTTCAATCCCCATTCAAAACCATCCAATCTGATGGCCATCGCGGTGTCTTGGGTTCGTGAATTCCACACGGGGGAGAAACAGTTCCTTTGACCCGTCCTGAATCTCCCACTCATCCACGGTCCCTGAGTCACTTTCTTAAAAATACTGGTCATAAAAGCAATCATAAAGCAGCAATCCAGAGCAGCAATGAAAATAAGTGAACTCAGTTAAGGGGCTGCGTACAAGAAGCACATCATCTCCTAGCGGCTGAAAGATACCAGCTTTACACGTTATTACTACTTTTGCTACTATATTGCTTTCATATCCCACTTTCCCTACACCCTACATGATCCTGCATCTCTCTCGCACGCCTTGCCACAGGCACATTGCGGAGGCCAACCTGTTATCTCTCTCTGGGTGGCGAGACAAATAAGAGAAAAAGCATTTCCACCCCATGTGCAAAATAGGAGTGGAAATATGGAAGCATGCAAGCAATGGGAGGAATTATTCTTCCCATCCTTTAATGTGCACACAAAGGGGCTATTCTAATTCCCCTCATGCCTATAGCGAAAGTAGCAGGGGAGGTTTTTGGCGGGGGGGCAGCAGAATTTCTTCTGCTTGCCACATTTCCCCACTAACCGTGCTCCCAGTGGCTGCACATTCAGAGTTTGTGTCACAGAAGGCGCACCTGCAAGCGTGGCGCTTCTGCAGAGACCCCAGGCAAGGACAACCCCCTTTGCCCAGCACCACTTGGGCAGATGAACCAGCTGCTTGTCGGGAGAAATGGCACGAGGCCCCTGCCAACTCCATGTCTGAGCAAGAGTCGGTCGCAGCCCTGGCTGGCTTGCAGCCCGAATACGGCTCAGCATTTCTCCAGGAAATGAGAACACGCAATTAAGCGCTCCACTGCTAAACGCCACTTGAATGATGCGGTCGCCTTGCACACAATGCAAACCTGCCACGGACCAGGAAGTGGGCAAGAAACCTCTCCCTTCAGAGCTTGCGCTCACAAGCCTGGGAGACAAGACCTTCAGAAGGCAGCCTAAAGCAACATCCCTCAGAGGGGTTGGTTGGCCTTACCTGAGCAGGTTGGGTGCAGGTGCCAAGGTGTGACAAGCCAGGCTGACGGAAGCTCAGCCATCACATGGCCTTGGCTGGCATCAGGCATGCTAAGTTGATTCTATTCACCCAGGCATTTTCACTGGTTGTGACCTTTTAAAATGGTTACGGTAACAAAGCAGTGTACCATGGGAGTTAGAGTGCTGGACTGGGGACCTGGGAGATGCCGGTTCTAATCCCTACTCAGCCATGAAGCTCACTGGGGGACTTGGGGCCGGTCGCTCACTCGCACCTACCTCACAGGGTTGTTGTTGCGAGGATAAAATGGAACTAGGCAAACTGCCTTGGGGTCCTCACAAGAGGAAAAAAGGCGGGATATAAAGGCAATAGAGTAGCAAAAGTGGTAGTAACATAAAGTTGGTATCTTTCAGCCACCAGGAGGAGACGTGCTTATTTTATGTTGCCTCTTAACTGACTTTACTCGTTTTTAATGCTGCTTTGGATTGCTGTTTTATGATTGCTGTTATGACTGATATTTTTAAGAAACATAGAAATGCTTTACTGATTTTATTTTTATTCCTGTAAGTTATCCTGACTGCTTTTTAAAAAAGGGTTGTATTAAAGAAATACAATAGCACGATAGCAAAAACATATATTAAAAAGAAAGGTCCTGGATTTTGTATTATTGAGGGTGTAATCCTATTCTTGCCTAGACAGAAATACATCGAGAACGACCCCTTTTCGTCACCTGCTGCTGCAGTGACTTTGTCTTCTTCTTTTTACTGGCTTTGCCAAGGAACACGTGCAAATTGCCTAGGCTGGTTACCGTGCTTGCTGGTCGGCATAGCAAGTTCTATGAAAAACCTCCAAGCTGATATCTTGTCCCCCAGGTCCTGCCCACCTCTTCCTGGAACTGTTACAACCAACCTAGTCAGGCACCAGCGACCAGATCATAACACAAAACACTCTTGTTTCAAGTAGGGCGAAGGGGTGGAATTTCCGAAGGCCAAAACAGGATTTACCGTAAAGACAGCTTGAAGGTTATTCAGCTTTTCAATTTCCTTTGGCATCCCGTTACTTCCCCAACGCACCAGATAGTTTTCACTGCAAAATAATAATGAAGACATGTTGTCACAGTTGTGACATGCAGCTCCTATCCTCACATTTAAGTAGATGCACTAAAGAATGCCCGACTTTGCCAAGGGGCAAAACTGTGCCAAGGCTGAGGCAGTCCATTGCCCATTCGCGTGAAGCAAACCTACTGGTGCTTCTGCATTTCACAGAAAGAAAAACAAGGCGCTTTCATACAATATGAGCCCCGACTGAGATTGCCACTCCAGTCACAGGTAACAACAAACCATGGCTTCCCGCTCTGGAAACAAGCAAGCCAAAGCACTCGCCTTTCCCACCCCACTTCCCCCTGTTTTGCACCGAAAAAGGGGATATGAAAAGCTTCCATGCATTCTCTGAAATAAATGGCCACTTCCCATTTTGCTCAGTTATGAGCAACTCTGGTCTGGCTAGTCTGACTCACGGCCCACCAGTTTCACCTATCCAGACAAGACAGGAAATGGTGGTTGCTACACGCCACCAAGGGAGCCTTCTCAGCTCCTCCACCAGCACGTGAAGGAAACGGGAAGGGAGAACATGGACCCAAGGCTCGGGCCTATCCATTGCCAAACCTGCTGGAGGAATCAACCTCAGGCACTGAAGGTCTGCCTCTGCCCTGCCTTGAATATTGCTTAGGGATCTCATGGTGGTTTGAAACGTTATGCTAAGAACGCACCTAATGAACTTGGACTGATCGGGATCATAGAGGCTCATAAGCAGCTCTGCATCCTCTCCGACGTTGCAGACAAAATTCTTGAAATTGACGTACAGGCTGTACGTGTGGGTTGTGTTGAAGATAGGCTGTCCTCGCAGGTCCACATTCTGCTGGACAGACTTGTGGGGAAGAAGAGATGAACAAGAGAGTGAGTTCTTGGGACAAACAGTGAGGAAATGCCTGCAAACCTCAGTCCATCTGGAAAACAGTCCCTTTTCTTAGCCCCACATTTTAATATGGCTGTTTTGGCTGGAGGCAGAGGATATCCAAAAAGAGAGAGTTTAAAACATCCTTTCTCCAGTGCCTTTGGATCAGCTGGCCAGGAAAGCTGGAAGTTGGAAGCTTTGGGAGAACATCAGATTGGGAGTGGCCAGAAGACAAGTAGAGATTCCTCGTTTAATTGATAATAACTTAGAGAAGCTGAATCTATTTATCTCCCTACCCTGAAAGTGCCTCTGACTAGCCACACAGCAGATACAGATCTTTGCAAGCAAGTATCTATAAATGCTGCAGCCAGCACGTGCTAAACTAACAGGGAGACCTCCCTTCTTTTATACCCACAGGAGCATTGCTGCTATTCTGATCAGAGAGTATGTTACTGTGACACAAGAGTTTCCGCCACAGACAAAGACTAGATGCTTCAGAAATACTGTTTTTAATGCTATCCCCCGAGACTCACAAGAGACAGTCGCCTTGCAAGGATATCAATCATCTCCCCATTTTTTGAATGAAAAGGTATATTTTATGCAGTTTTACCGGGTGCATCCTTGACAGTAAAACCCCTGAAATGAAAGGTACTTCCCACTTGGAAGCTGGCAGAAATTAAGTCCTTGGGGCTACCAGTTAATCAAACACTTCACACAGCACCAGAAAGGACTGTATCGAATCCAGGTGAGAATGCTTCAGTGAAAATCAAGTTGATGGCTTGTTTCTAGGGGTTCCAACTTTTTTGTCCTGCCAGGGTTCCTAAGCTTTTAACAGCTTTGTGACAGTAAACAAAATCTAACAGGTTCAGCTTCTCCCATCACTGCGCCTACATGCTAAGAAAAGCCTCATCTGGGGTACTTATGTCACGCAGATGTTAAGGGCACAAGAGCGCTGTCCCTCAACCATCCACTAGGTCAGGGTTGCTCAACCTTTTCCCCACAAGGGCTGGATTCCATTTTGGAGGCGTTCTCTGGGAGAGTGAGGTCAAAGGCAGACCACCAGAAACAGAGGCTAGGCTGAAATACCAGCTCACTAAGTATTCTGCTAATTGTACATAGTGTAACCACGCGCGAGTGCTGTCTTTACTCTTGCATATGCACAAGGGGGCGCTATGCAAACCAGGACTATGGCGCTCCAGGAAGAGGGACTTCAAACCTTCCCCACCCCCCCACCCCCGGCTGGCGGGGTGGTACAGTGCTAGAGGTGAAACCTGGGAAGGGGACATTTAAAGAGCCCTTCCAGGATCACGTGGTCCTAATGTAAAGCCAGGTGCATGTGTGCAAGATGAAAGACTAGCAGAATGGTTTTAAGCCTTAGCTGAGTCATTTCAACCTTTTAGAGTGGGGGGAAATACTAGGCAAAAGCTGGGAAACACCGAATGACTGGTGCTCAAGGAAAGGGGGTCAGATCAAGAGATGGGGGTGTGACCATCTGGAGAACACTGGGGGCTGGCTTGGACTCCAGAAAGGCCAGAAGTGGTGGTCCGTCTCCCCCCCACCGCCCAAGAGATTCTGTGTCCCTGTTCTAGGCAAAGGACTGGATCCACTTTGAAGAGTGGCTGAGGTTGGCTGAGAAAGCGGCGTGAGCTCATGGGAGAAAGCTTCCAAATTAATCTGAGACAAGCAAGAGACAGCTTTCCCATCTCAGATTTTAATAGAAAGCACTGAAATACGGACTGATCCCATCCTGTCATTCTGGAAAGAGGTGTGGATTCTTCAAACCACTGCAACTTGCATATTGCTCTCAGCCAGCTCACCTCTGAAAACCCAGCTGTTTGGCATTCCTTGTGTGCAAGCACCCCAGGGAGAAACTACATGGTATCTCAGACGCATACCTTTTCTTCTTGGATTCGTTCATCGATTCTTTTCGATGCTGTCTCGTGTGCTTTAAAGAGTGCTATTGTGCTAGTAGCATCTGGATCCAGGATGTTCCCATTATCATCTCGCACCACCAGGTCCAGCCCCAAGATCCTTGCAGGAACCCAGAAAAACAAGGAATACAGACAAGGGCAAGGAACAGAAATTTCATCTCAGTTTACAAATACCTGAAAAATGCCCGGATTTGCATTCACATTCACAAAACACATACTTGAAAATACACAACTTGCTCTGATATGTCAGTTTTGAAAAATGCACTCATGCACAATTCAAAATCCTCAGCTTCCTCAAATTACAGAAATTTTGAAAAATGCACTCTTTCAAAACACACCACTTTCCAATATGGGCACAGTTTGAAAAAGGAACAACTCAAAATGCACAATTTCCTGAACATGAACCACTTTTCCAGTTTAAACCAACTGAAAAACAAGTTGCCCATCAGAACAGAAGTGAGCCAAACCAAAATTGGAGAACTTCAGTGAGCATAGCTATCTCCTGTTCTCCCATCTGTAAGTATAGAGCATGGATTAATATATGGGAACTTAAATTCCAGGGAAAGTCCCACGTACTCGTAGTTTGCCTGCAGTTTGTATTTCTGCTAGAATTCTGTTTCTAGCACATCTTAGTAGAAACCTGAAGATTTCCCCCCTCCAAAGCATTTTCAGCACTGTTTTGGTGCTTTCTGGATCAGTACATTTTTACTGCTGCTGTGTTTTATTTTGGTGTGATGGGGGGGATTTTTTTAAATCTCTGCTACTGGTTTTATCTTGGTTTTATTATGTGCTGATTTTACATTGTTTCCATTCTATGTTCAGAATGTATTGTATGCAGTTCAGAGAACATGGCTTATTGGGCAGTTAAAAATCACCAGGACACATTTGAGATGAAAAAGTCAACACTGCACATTTTAAAAGATGCTGCAATCTACTCTAGACATTTAGATTCTACAACCTGAAAATCTCCACCTGCTGCCACCAAAATAAACTATGCTAATTACATAAAATGTATGTACGCTTTGTTACTCTAGGAGGACAAAGGGGTGCCAGAGCCAAGACTGGAAACAGCTCTGACCTTGGAACTGGTATTCCAAGCTTGGATCCCTTTCCCCCTCCTGGTCCAGGGTCATAAAGGAGACATCCCAGGGTGTGTGTGTGTGGGGGGGGCAGACATTCCTGCTTGTTAGATTAAATTCTGGTTGTTATACGAAACATTTTAGGAGTCAATCCTACGAGTGCTTAAGATGGACAAAGCCCTAGATAGCCCAGCATTCCCCAGCCAGGGCCAAGCTGCCAAATGAAAAAGGCCTCAGTAGTTACAACCCACCTTGTCAGTGGGGCCAAAGCCCAAGCTGGCAGGGGCAAGTGAGGTTATTACCATTTTAGGCATACTCAGAAGTAAGCAGGTCGAGGTTTCTGCGTGTGTGCTCAGAAGGAAGGACTGCATCACTCAGCTGTGCTTCCCAATAGCATCTTAATTACCAAGCCTCTGCATGAGAGGTGTTCTGCCTTTCAAATGCACATCCTTGCCTTTGATGGGCTGGATGCCCCTTAATTTCCTTAGGTGAACTCCACCAGAAAGCTTACCCTAAACCACTTGTATTAAGAAACAGCAAGGAGATTTTTAGTTTTAGTACAAATTGATAGTCTAAGTCCTAACTTGCATATGATAGTAATATGTTCTATACCAGGGCTTTTATAATTTATATTTTCACATGAAATTCATTGCAATGGCTGTTAGATGTTGTTTAAGCCTGGGTTATTTATATATATATTATGATTAAGACCAGTAGCATTTATTTAATAGCATTTGTTTTTCGGTGCCAGGCAAAGACGTTTTTAGTCAAATGTCATTTTAATTGTTAATAGTATTTATTCATTTTATTCTTTGGCCAGGGCGACTTAATTTATACTGTTAATTTATATTATTTTAAGGAAGTTTATTTATGTCTGTGAGCCACCCCGAGGCTTCGGCGAATGGGGCGGGATAGAAGTTTTCTAAATAAATAAATAAATAAAATGTATTACACTGGGTGTTTGTCTTTTTGAAATGTATACTTTTGCATTGTTTGAACAAGCATTTCCTTTGATAAACAGCTCCCTTGAAAATGTGCCAAGAATCCAAAGATACCATCAGTTAGAGTTCTTGGCACTGTCTCGTACAGCTTGCTTTACCGTGGTTTGGGAATGGTTCAGAGGAAGGCAAAGGAGACCTGAGAACAGAGAATGGGCTCAACCACTGTTCACACATGTAGGAAGACCTTTGGATATGATCCTGCAATTCCCGATTCCAGTTACTATGTTTTGAAGATCTTTAATTCACATATCCGGTGTTTTTTCTGCCACAGACAAAGACCAGACAGAGTCTTCCCCAATCTGTTGCTGTCCAGATGTTTTGAAAACAACTCCCAGTAATTCCTGACCATTACCATAGTGGTGGGGCTGATTAAAGTTGCAGGCCAAAGCACCTGGAGGGGCTAAGGGTGGAAAAGGTGGAACCGGCAACTTATTTGAACATACTTCTACCAAGACTTACGGAGAGCGTGGCGGTGCAGCAGAAAAGACCATTTTGAGGTCGGAATGGGCCATGGGACATCCCCACCATGCCATGAATGGGGGTCCCAGATGCCCTCACTTACTCTCCCACTCCATAAATGACCATCTTTGCAGGAAGATGAATGGTGGGACTCTCCAGAAAACAGCAATGGAGGGGGCACCACCAGTGGTAACCGAGGAAGCATGTCTTCAATGAGGTTTTCTGAAGACCACCAGGTGAGTGAGAGCAGGTGGGGTCAAGAGCATGCGGACTGCAAGGCTTGCCTACACACCTGAATTGGGCACTTTAAACTGTCCTGCAGATGAGCTCCACCTGCAGAATTGTCATATTACCGTGCTGGCTTGGGGTGATGCAAAGAGTAGTCCAACAGCATCTGGGGGGTGCCAGGTTGATCTACGTGACTTCTAATTGTCCTCCACCAGCTATGTTTAGATACTTTGAGCTGAGGGAGATGGAAACCAAGGTCCCATCTGGATGCCAGGAAGCACCTCCTGACAGTTAGGACCCCGAGGGTGTGGAATGGGCTTCCACGAGAGGTCGTGGAGGCCCCATCGGTGCGGGTGTTCAAGGATGGGCTGGACGTGCACATGGTGGGCATGTCGTGAGCAGAGCCGGCTGGTGCCAGAGGTCAGACTAGATGGCCCGGGAGGCCCCTTCTGACTCGCTCTGTTTCTATGTTTCTATGAAACAAGCGTGCACATTTGGTAGCTGCAAGTCAATGCGGAGGAGAACAACACAACCAACCAGGAAGGAACACAGCTGTGCTTTTGTGGATGACAAACACGGCACCTCTTTTGCTGGGTCCAGCATGTCATTGCTCCAAAGCCAACACCCACACACACGGAGGCAGGTTCTACAGGTCACAAGTAGGAAGCACAGAAAATACTCATTTGGTAGGATTTGGAAATATCCCCATGTTTCAAGTTCTTAAGAACCGAGCTCTCTGCCACCTGTTCACAATGCTGGCAGCTTGGCATGCAAACAAAGCTGTGCTTGGTCTGTGGATGTGCTGCTCATCTCAGAATCGAGCGTGAAATCAAACTGCCTGAACATTTCAGTTGCAGAGGGGATACTTAGCAGAATGAAGGGGAAGCAGAGCAAACGTCCAAAAATAAAAGGGTGCACATGCAGAAATAACCCTTCACACTCCAGAAGTCTCACTGTGTGGGGCGACATGTGCTTATTTCTGCCTGCTCGTATGACCTTGGCGAGACCCATGGGTGGAAATGTATGCCATGTGTACGTTCTTCCCAGGGCTGAAAAACACCAGTCTGCAAGCAGGGACCAGGCAGCCCTGTTAAGATCGTTGGGAGATAGACAATGCAAAGGGATTTCACAAGTGAAATGTAAAGATCCAAACCATTATTTATTCCAGTAAGATTAAATAATGTTATTCTTTTCCCTGCCTGCCAAAGCGGGGAAAAACACTTTCCCCTTTTCTCCCCAAATTAATGGCCTGCAGGCACATCTCTAAATGATCCAGAGATTCACTGGACCCGGATGAGGCATTCCGTTGCCCTGAGTGATTTATTTTATTAAAAAATGATATCCCACCTTTCAGAACAAAAGTCGTCCTCCTGGTGGCTTACAAGTGATATGAGAAAGGCATTTGATTGTGTTCATCAGGCACTCCAAGGGGATGATAGCTTCCACACCCATTAGAAAGACCCTCACGATGCAGCCCTGTGCATGTTTAGACAGGACAAGACACTGCAACCAGCAGCTTGCCTCAGGCACCAGTGGCTGGCGAATACTGGGAACCGGCGGGCTTTTTTCTGTCTCAGCTTGCACAAGACTGCACCTTTAGTCCACCTTCTGGGTTGTAAGTAAGAGAATGGACTGCTTCTTGAAGAAGAAATGCTTCTGTCTGTCTTTCTTAACCCAGATGCTCCAGTTTCCTTCTTACTATCTTCTTACAAGCAGAAACTAACGCACAACCCCTCAAGCTAATTCATTAAGTAACCTGCACAACTAAGACATTTCCTTTGTGCACGTTACACTTGGGCATGCAATTTGCAAACAGAAAGCTTACAGTTATATTAGAGTTACAAACGGATACAACTGTATAACTGTAACATTAAACATTTCAAATAGTGTAAAGAAATAAAGTAACCCAAGGGAGTAGCAGCAGCAACAAACTATAGTGGAAGAATTAAAAGGATAATGCCACTGAAATTCCGATCATCACTTCAATGAGAAGCAGGTTGAAATAAAAAGATCTTTTCATTCAAACCCGATTTAAAGAAGCAGGAAGAGAGACACGTAATTCCTTCAGTTCCAGACACGCGAAGCAGCCCTTGGAAAGGCCCTGCTGCTGGCACTTGCCGATCCTGGCAGGGCTCACCAGCAGGGCCCGCCTGCCGTGTGATGCAGGGTGCCAGCACTAACACTTCGAGCCCCAAACGGCTTGGGGCCATTATCTGGTTATCTGAAGGATCAGCTCCTCCCATATGTACCTACCCAGACCCTGAGGTCGTCTTTGGGGGTCCTTCTCCAGGACCCCCTTGCAAAGGAAGTCAGGTGGGTGGCTACCAGGAAGAGGGCCTTTTCGGTTGTGGCACCCCTGTTTTGGAATGAGCTCCCCAAAAAAGTGCACCTGGCACCCACTTTGTATTTTATTTTATTTTATTTTTTGGCCAGGTGAAGACCTGTTTATTTTCCTGGCATTTTAACAATCTGACTCTTAAACTTTGTTTTTATATCCCATTTCATTTCTGCATCACTGTTACGCTTCTGTGCTGCATAATAGCAATTGCAGCTATGTTTGTTATTTTAATGCTTCTGTGTGTCTTTTTAATATTTTTAACCGCCCAGAGAGCCTCAGCTAATGGGCAGTATATAAATGAATTACTTAAATAATGCATAAATAACCCATAAAAATGATGGATAAAGGAGATTGGCGGTAGAGAATTAAGAAGGTAGACCAGTGGGCTGCCAAGAAGTGAAGGATGAGGCATTTAGAACATCAACAAGGCCATAATCGCAGACCCTTGGTCCAAGTTCAAAACATTTATAGAAAGACTGAATGGATGTGATGAGCCCTCTGGAAGTGGAGCTTTGCTTGAGGAGCGGTAACGCCACCCCTTCCAAGGAACACAGGGAACTGCCTGGTCCTTGTGCGCTGGGACTAGCAGCTGTTTTCCCAGATCTAACCAATTGCCTGGATTGGATCGAGGCGCTTCTGCCCACAAAGCTGATGTTCCACCACCAAGCTTTGGTTCCCCCTCGACAGCTTCTCCCCCTCTGCTGCTCCACCACAAGCAGCAGGGGTGGAACAGAGCTGGCAGGACCAAGAAAGCTGAACAGAGAAGCAAACCCCAGACTGGCATCCCAAAGAAAGAAAAACGGAGGAAGCACATTCTCGATGTGTTCAGATGAAAGGCTTGTGGCAAAGGGGCTTCCGAAGATGCTTCTCCACAAAGGGAACCAGCACGCAAGCCAGGCGCCAAGTTAGTTCCTTTCACTCATTCATTCCTTGCATTTCTGTGCCACCCATAGCCAAAGCTCTCTGGGTGGTTTACGAGAAAGTGTTAAAGCAATAACATACAATAGATAAAACATTAGCTAGAATTAAAAATTAATTTTAAATAGCATAAATTATATTAAGACCATAACAAGACTCAGCCAAGAATACAGGAAAGGCATCTAGATAATCATGTCAGGCCCCTGAATGACCCAGGAGGTCTTTAAAGGCTTCTGCAAAGCGGGACATCTTAACCTGGTGGCAGATTTGGTGCCAGGTGAGCTGCAGCATGGAGATTATTCCAAAGATGGGGGGGCCACCACAGAAAAGACCCTCCCAATAGTTGCCACCTTCTTACCTCTCAAAGAGTTGGCACTGGGAAGAAGATCCCAGAGGTTGAGCTGATTCTAAGAGCGGCACACAATCCAATGCCTTCTGCGGTGATCCATACTCAGACTCCAGCTTGAAGATGGGAAAGGCAGTGTAGTAACAGAAAATGAACTCACCTGTTGCCGTAGTCTATTTTGGCCGTGACTTTCTTCTTGAGCTCAGCCAGCTCATCTTTGGGGAGTGTCCCCGAGAGGATCTGGGATCGCCACTCAATGAGGCTATAGGTCATCTGCTGCACATGGCGGAAGAGGGTGGTCTTGTTCTCCTGCAGCGGACAGGATGTGAGAAACAGCACTCAAAAGGGGGACAGCAAAATCTCCCTACGCTTACGGAAAACCCACAGCCTTCCAGAGTTCCAACATCCTCATCCAAAGGACTGCGCCAATGTTGAAGCAAAGGAGATCTCCAGGAGGACGGAGGATGCAGAAATAGATACTCCGATCCACCAGGATCCTTCGTATACCAAGCCCCGCGTTCTCTTCTTCACAGTGGCCAACTAGATCCACTGGGGAGTTCAGAAGCCGGGTACACATGCAACAGACCAGGCGTGGGAAACTGTGGGAGGTGTGGATGGAATGACTACCTGTGGACCAAACGACCTCAGCAGGTAAAGCGAAAGGAGATGAAGCACCTTTGTTCAGCACTCGCAGGCACTTCTGGATGAGTGCTCTGTTCCTCCTCCCACTTGGAATCCTCATTATCTCCGACTTGTAATCGGAGAGAACAAGGACATTTCCCTGCTCCACCTTCTCCTCAATCCACAGTCACTTCCAGGAGGAAGGGAAACCCAAGCTTCTACAGGCCAGGTTTATTCGCATGGGCTGGAGGATCCCCACCCTTGCAAAAGACTCCTTCCCTTTGGTTTGCCCCCCAGCAGCTTCTGCCTCTTGGCACATTTCCTCCTAGCAATGCTATTCCTGTTCTTTACCTTCTCTAAGAGCAGCTAATAGGCCTCTTCTACTCATCTCCTTTTAGTGACCACAACCACTCTGGGGCAGAGAATCAAGAAGTTCTGGACGTCCTCTGTCCAAATTACTAGAAGATCCTGATCCGTAACACTCCGAGCGTGAAAAAATCTTTCTATCCACTGCCACCACAGTTCACAACTCATGTTAAGACTCCTCATAATAGCCTTTCTCAGCCATGTTCACCGAGATCTTTGGCTGGAGACACCGGACTTAAACCGGAGAATTGATACCCACATGCAAAGCACGTGTTCTTCCATGGTCACTCCACTTTCTCCTCCAGAGAAGCTAGGGTGGGATTTGGAAAGAGGAGCCCTGCAGCATGGGGGTAAAGTACATGACTTCTTCCGCCTTGAAACTCTCCACCCCCTATTCAAAATCATATTTCCTGCAGTGTCTTCTCAGAAGATGAAAATTCCACTGGGAGCTTCCGTCCCGGATCTCACCTGTAGCCATGTGCAAGGGCCTTTGGGAACAGCAGTATTTTAATTTTGTTCCAAAGATTCATACACTGCCCTTTGTCCTATTAGATTCCAGAACATTGCACAACATGAAGAAATGTAATAAACACAGAAAGATAAAAGAGCAAAAGATACAATCTGTGCAGGAATCTAATGCTGCTTGCTGCATTAAAGAGAAGTGGAAAAAGTCTACGTGACTGTATGGCTCATTCTTAAGTGGTGAACGGAATTTTCAACTGGAAAAAACAGCCATTACGGAGCAAGAGTCAGGATCCAACTTAAGGACCATTCTCCTTGCTGATGATTGTCTCAAAAGGGCTGTCCAAAGTAGTGAAAGGAGGACTAAACTCCAGGCATTTTTAAAAATACCAGGTGCACTGCAGAGTGATTTGAATATGCACATTGCAGATTTCCTGCACCCTCATTTGTAATGGATCACATAAGACATGGCAGAACTGCATGATCATGGGCAGAAAGAATTTCTCCCAGGATGAGCTCTTTGAAGATACCGCTTCTTCCTTCCAATCCAGGCAGCACAGGAAACAAGCAGCATTCTGTGGCAGAGTCCTTGCAGGACTCTACCACTCTCAAGTACACAGATTTTTTCCCCCTGAACGATCTCTTGCATATAGAAAAGCTTTTCTATAGCCTGAAAGTGTCTGATTTGGCCTCATCTTGGAAGCTAAGCAGGATTGGGCCTGGTTGAAATCAGGATGGGCAACTCAAATGTTGAGAACAGCCCAGAGTGCTTCACCTAAAGGCAGTATAAATATATAATGTAGCAGCAGCAGCAGCAAAATGATATCTTTCGGGGAAAAAACAAAAGCTTCCTGCATCTAGAAAATTAGCACAATGAGAAATTTTCATGGTTGATTTTGAACACTGAACATTGATTTTATTGAATTTTGTTTTAAAGTGGGAGAGAACGTTAAATTTAAAACACACCTCAATTATTTAAAAACATAATGTTTAAACAGTATTTTGGATTTATCATTTACTTCTTTTATCCTTCACTTTCTTTCTTGTTTTTTTTTTTCCTGTTGGTTTTTAAGGTGCGGTGCATTGCCCAGAGAACACTGGTTGTTGGATAGTGGAAAGAGCAACCTGGTGGTTTCCAGGCGGCATTCTCAGGGCCTGTGAGATTTTTCAGTGTCCTGCTCCCAAAGGGTGTAGGTGCCGTGACAACTTCAGGAAGGGGATTCTAGAAGCCACTCCCTCCTCCCACCCCCACCTCATTGTAGCTCCCACATAAAAACCAGAGCGCCTGCTTTCCAAGAGCACAAAATCTGAGACCCTTGTAGAGATCAAAGGAGGGGCATTTGGAGGGTGCAGAGGTGAGGTTACGAAGAGCCCTGTAGCCTTACCAACCGCAGCACCATATCTCCTCTAGCTGGGCTCAGAGTCTTGTCTAGATAAAAGATGGCAGGAAGGTAAAAATCCACCATTCTTCCTGTCCGGCCAGCAGCAGCCCAGCTCAGAAGCCTCCAAGCAGAGGCTTCTCTCTGGTGGAGTGGGCATCCCTAAAAAGCTGAATGGATGGATAGATGCAACATGCTCTCCTGCACAATGAGCTCAAAGGGCCAACTACGGGCCCAACTGAGCATCCCAACATGTTGTAAGTCCCTCCTTCCTGTTCACACGATTGCCCTTCCAAAGAGAAATTCAACAGCATTCACTTCTGTTTTAGATTAATGCAAACGTTCCATACTGTCTGAAAAGAAGCAAACTGAGGTTAATCTTCTCTCTGGTTAGTGGAAACAAGCTAACTTCAAACCATCCTGTATGAACCTGGCTTGTTTCAAAGACGCCTGGTTAAAATAAATTCTCAGTTTAGGGGTGAACAGAAAATAGAAGTGGAAATTTGTACTGTGCCCATAGTGTTGTGAAGGAAGAAAGAGATTGAGCCAGGGGGAAGTGGGGGGGGGGGGTTGGATTCTGTCACGGAAAGAACAGATTCCTGGGAGAGACCTGAAGGAGAAGAGAGGGAAGCCACCTTGCGATGGCCAGGCAGTGACTTGCATTTGTGGACTGAACCAAGGCTTCGCAGTGCTCCAAGCAGAACCTTGCCGTGGGGTCTGCTCACATATTCAGCCGTGGATCAAGCCAGGCATCCACAGGCAGAAAACCGCCGCTCTGTCTGCTCACAGACACCCCTGCCACGACCTCAGCCACTCCTGGGTTGCACTGCACTTTCTAAAGTGCACGGAATTCCTCTGACGGTTGCAAAGTGGTTCACCCCCTCCCAGCTCCCAGGCAGCGCTAAATGCACGAGGCTTGGCAGGCTGGAAAACTGCCAGTGCAAGCAGCAGAGGCTCCTGCTGAGCAAGGGGGAGCTTGCAAGCAAGGCCCTGATCGTAAGCTGATCTTTCCTCCAAGGGCACAGATGGGAATCTGGAGGCTGGGCTGAAAAGCCGCTGGTTTTAAATCCCATGCTCAGACTCCGGGCTTCTATTCCTTTCTCTTCTCTGTTTCAACAGCTCTGGGGTATAGCAGTTACAACTGCTGGACTGCAACTCAGGAGATCCGGGTTCCAGTCCTGATCAGCTGTGAAGCCCACTGGGCGACTTTGGGTCAGTCACCGACTCTCTGCCTGGCCTACCTCCCAGGACTGTTGTTGTGAGGATGAAATGGGGAGGAGGAGAACCTTGTGCACTACCTTGGGTTCCTTCCAGGAGGAAGGAAGCCTGGATAGAAACGCAGCATGACAAGGGCTTAAGCTGGGTGGTCTCCTTGGTATAAAGCAGGCTGGGAGGATAGTCCCACCCTGACCAGTCTGGTCTCATTACGGCACTTCTGACCAACCCTCAGCTTTGCAGGCCCGCCAGCTATCAGTCCCTTAATTGTTACCCACTATGGGGTTATGAAACGTTCAGGTTAGATCATCTTGTTTCACTGTGCCTTATTTCCTCGTTCTTTTTTCCTAATGTGGGTTAGGCGCAAGTCATAATCATAAAAATGCTGATCCAAAATAAATACATTTCAAATTTCAGATGCCAAATATACTGGCTGGGGCACACACGCCTAGCTTCTCCAAGAGTTTACATCTGCAGTGTTTCCTCCAGCCTTGAGCAAGTCCTTGCCCAGGAGAAAACAAATATATGGGCTGGTTCCTAATGTGCCTAATCCTTGCATTTCAAATAATCCCCCACTGAGAAAGCCACTCAGTTGAACAAAAGAGTGCCAGGGAGGAGAAAAAAAATATTTGCATAGCTTCAGAAGGTCTGCACTGAGATTCTGTGGAGATATTTTGGCTACGGGAGAAGGCTCAGAGGTGAAATGCAGCAAGTACGAAGAGAAAGAAGTCACAAGTCGCATGCAATGAGAAAGAAGAGGTCACCCTTTCCCTCTTGTTTAAAAATACCTAGAACAAGAGTGCAAAACCTCAGCCTGGAGGTGAAATCTGGTCCAGGTGGCCCTTCTCCCTCCCCCTAGTTTCCCCCTTCTTTCTCCAAGCCCTGCTCATAGAGTGTTGTGACCCTCACTCTAACAGGCTGAGTGCTCATCTCCAACATTCAGCAACTGGCTGGTAAGAGTTTTAAGCTGAAACCTGCTGCCAGTGTTGGCATCCTCTCTGCAGCCCTGCCTGGTGTCCTCCGATAACTGCTCTGTAATACAATCTGGCCAAAGGGATGCCACATCCCTGGCCTAGAGCAAGGTTGGACGGAAGAGGGAGTGTGGCCCACTGGTGGAATGTAACTAGAAGGGACCTCACCTCAAAGCCCTTCCATCCCCCAGGAAGGAAGGAATCAGAGACTGGAGATGATGTGTTTCTTGCCTTGGATCCTGGAGTGTCACTACCAAGAGCTCCGGGTGGCCTGAGGCAGCTCCCAGTGCTTCTCAGTGGCTCCTAGTGGGCCACTGAGGGCCCGGGGGTTTCTCCAATTCCTTTCTTGAATGCTGGTGCCAGTGAAAACTTGCCATGACCACAGCAGTAGGGGAAAGGGTTAACCTCTCCCTTCACCAACTACGGTGCCCATCCACCCCTCCCGTGGCTTTGTTCACACTGCACTGCATTCATTCAATCGCCCCTGCTGGAATGCCATGCTTCCAATCCAAATTGGACCATGAGAGTAAAAACAGCAGGCAAGTCTCCACAACATGTTCTGCAACTCGTGTGACATAGAAACATAGAAACAGAGCGAGTCAGAAGGGGCCTCCCGGGCCACCTAGTCTGACCTCCGGCACCAGCCGGCTCCACTCACGACATGCCCACCATGTGGATGTCCAGCCTATCCTTGAACACCCGCACTGATGGGGCCTCCACCACCTCCCCTGGAAGCCCATTCCACCCCTCGGGGTCCTGACTGTCAGGAAGTGCTTCCTGGCATCCAAATGGGACCTTGGCTCCCTGAGCTTTGCTCCACTGGAGTGCGTCCTGCCTTCCTCTGCAGGGGAGAACAGGTCTCTACCCACCTCCGTGTGACACCCCCTCACATACCTGTATGTTGCCAACATATCCCCTCTGAGTCTCCTCTTCTCCAGACTGAAGAGACCCAGTTCCCTCAGTCTCGCCACATACGGCGTCCCCTGCAAACCGGCCACCAACCTTGTGGCCCTAAACTTTGTTCTGGAGCAGCAGAAACAGCTGGGCAGATGCATAATAGACTTCCAGGCCAATCAGTCACAGTGTTCGGTTAACACAGAGACACGTTTCCTCTTTTTCCTAAAATACCCCAGCTGGTAAAGTTGCTCCGTCCCCAAAATGCAACGGAAAGAGAATCAGGGCTACTCACCACATACAGTCTGTGCCAGATAACCACCCATTCCCGTAGGGTGGAGGTGAGTTCTTGGACCAAGGGCAGTTCACTAGGAATGACTGTCTCGTGTTGTCTAAAGAAAGGGGGCGGGAGAAAGAATTACATGATTACTGATCAGTTCTGTCAGCTAAGCCCTAGAGTGTTTTCTATATGTGCCCCCTGTCAGAAAGGAACATCAATGCTTATTGGAGTAATTTAAGGAAAGGAACTAGACAGCATAGCTTCTATAATACTACAAACTGCAGAATGACTGGCTTCAAACAGCAGGATAATCCACATGCAATCAGGCTAAACCCAGCTTCACTAACAGCCATGGGTTGAAAACCATGAGCAGCCCAAGAAATGAGCTCATGGGTCGTTGATGGATAGTGAACTGTGGGCTGTTTGAACAATGGAATTCAGAAAACATGGTAAGTCACATTTCAATAACCCACCGTTCAACAACCAGCACTCAACTCATACTCAGCCCTGGAAGGTGGGTGAGCGCGTGTCTGAACCCACTCAGTATAACTTCTAATACAGAAGCCTGTCATGATTTGGAAGTAATTGTGTTTCTAGGCCTCAAGCTTGCGGGTGTGGGGGAGAGATTTAGAACCCAGTTCCATAAAATATTTGCACATATTGATTTATATTTAAGTATGCAGATACAGAAATCAGTTCTAGAATTTATTTACTTGTCACAGGTGGCAAAGACAGCTAATTCATTTCTCATCCAAATAATCTCAAATACAATATTGGTCAATTAATTTGCACCCAGCTGAGATTATCCCAAAGAAATGAACTGATTTTCCTAACCTTAATTGTCATATAGAGATTGGGAGAGGGGTTTGCAGCATATGGAAGGAAAGTAACCTCTCCCCTTCGCAGCTAAGATCTCCTTTAAAAATACCCCCAGCATGGAAATTAAGCTAAGGAAAAAGCTTTTGCATCTCAGGGTTCTGGGGAATAGAGCAGGGACCCTGTGAAATAGATCTGGGCTTCAAGGTCCATGCCAAGCAACAGCTCTACTCATTGCAAACAATTTACCCGCCATCCTGCACTGTAGCCTCTTTCAGATGGATGTATGTTGATGGAAAGATGCCCTGTGAAAAAGACAAAACAATCCCTTTATCAAAAGGAGGGCCAGACGTTTAGGAAACTGTCAAGACAAGCATGCAGAGACAAGCAAGATGCACCACAAAAACAGAAACATATAGCAGTTCTCCGGAATTTTTAAAAAAAGGAACTTGATCACCTCAACTTCTCAAGATCAGTGCGTATTTTAACTTTTCAAATCTTAAGATACAGGTGCACATTTGGTTACATTTTTATTAATAGTAAGAGCTTAAAAACGCCTAGAAGAGCTGCTCACAGATTAATACCCAAGGTCAATTGCGTCTGTGAGCTTACAGTCTCAACGACAAGAGGCACTCGGAAAAAGAAATGGCCGCGGAAGAGGAAGAGGCAGAAAGCACTGAGACACCATGCCTGCAAGTGATGTAGTACTTCAAGGCATGTAGTGCGGCTGGGAGCAGGGGAACTGAATGGTGGACGATGCTTCGGTGAGGTCCTCTTTCCAATCTGTTGCACCTTGCCAGGTGGTTCGAGTGTTTGACTGGGGACCCGAGAGAGTCGTTTCCTTACTAGGATGCCACGACCAAGAAGACCTCTCTGACCCTTGCTCCATCTCCTCCTCCTTCACCTCCCTCCCCACCTCTAATTGTCTCCTACACAGGTGGCCACTCACATATCATTCAAAAAGTAGGCAAAGCAGAGCACATGTTTAAATAAAATTGCTCATATAAAGCAACACACGTTGCTATAATTCAAGTACAAATCCAGCAGAGATCTTCCCACAGTAGGGAAGGCCGCTCTTGGGGGCCAGGTATTGATGGGTCTATTCAAGGCCCTTCCAGTTTTTCCCCTCTTGGGTTCAGGATGGACACCCTTCAACCAGAAGCACATCCAAAACAGAGGACTACCCTTGGACAGCCTTTCAAACAGAGGACTGTTCTAAAGAAAAAATAAGACAAATGGCCACCTTACCACTGCCAGACAGCTATTGCATGCCAACTCTCCCAGTGTTTTTTTTAAAGGGGGGGGGAGGTTAAAAGCAGCTGCCAAGGGGGCCAATTTTGATCAAGGCCCCACATAAGGGAAAAGGAGGGGATCACACTCCACCCAGTACCAACACCCTGATCCAGATCTCCCACTCTGGAGCGGCTGTTAGCCATACTGGAGTGGAGAAAGAAGGTAACAAAATGGTACAAGTTGTGCTTTCTCCACTCTGTGCACACAACAAGCAGAAAAGAGCCAGAGGAGTTAGGGAAGGATCTGCAATAAGTCCCACGGAGTTCAACTGAACCCCCAAGTAAGTATGCAGCAGAGTGGACCCTTAAATTAGCAGTGCCTGCAACCTCTACTCCCACATCTAGACATGGACAAAATTGTGGACAAAACTGAATTGTGTCTCCCTTTTTAAATTGTGAGGGGGGAAACCCCAGTAGCCTTTGCAGAGATCATACTAATGTGTGTGTTAATTCGGGGTGTTAACCCGGATCCTGCTCCAGTGGGGACGATCCAAGAGCAAGTGTTCCAAGCAGGATCTGCTCTTTTCTCAAGCAGTCTGAATGCTACGCAAAACCTCAGCATTGCAGCAGCTCTTCCTCTTCCTCTTCCAGTAACTTCCTGCTGGTGCTCTGGCCAGTTCAACCAGAGAGGCATGGCTCTCTTCCCAACACTCTGACCACATAACCCACCCAGCTCACTAGCTTCTCGCTGACTAGTTCTTGGCTTCTTCCGCCTGAGGCAGCAATAAGTATTTAAACCATTTGTCTGTGTGGATGCATCTATGTCACCATGATCACCAGAAAATGAAGGCCCTCTGGATTCCCATCGAAGCAGAATTTTTAAATCATGGAATCCTGCAATCACAAGGCTAAGGATGTCTGTGTTTTGTTAAACTTGTTCCATCTGCATTTTGTGGAATGCTGTCTTTCATACTGCCACCCACTCCTGAGAGCAGTGTTTGCAGAATTTCATCCCCTTGCACTAGTGTACAATAGTGTTAAGTTGCATTCCCAAAGGCACAACTGCACACGGCGCAAGCAAAAGAAGAAGAAAAAAGCCTCCTTCAGAATTGATGCGACTCAGAAAAAGTTGGTCTGCTGAGAGGGCCATGATCTGGTTTCTTACAAATCTGAACTCATTTGAATCCACTGCAGTGTTCTCAACAACGAGGCCAGAATCTGGCTCCTGTATTTGCCAGACGTCTTCACCACGCTCAGCCCCAACTGCAAAGAAAGCTAAGCTGGGATGGAGTCACCGAACGCTCAGGAACACGAGCGGCTTCCTTGTGCAAACTTTGCCAGCTGTGTAATTCTTTGCGCAAATTACGCAAAACCCCACAGGTCACGTGTGCAGGCGTAGCTGCTTGATCTCATTTCCTGCCAGATGCCCACATGGACGCTCAGTGTGAGGTGGGCTTAAGGAAGAGACAACAGGTTGGAGCCAGGGCAGCCGAGTTAAGGAAATTCAACCGATTCCCACCACATCCGTATTCTCAGGCACCACTAGCTGGAGCTTGCACTGGTAGCAGATTAGCATGGTGGAACTGATGGAAGCATTTCGGACAACTGGGAAAAATCAGATTTCCCATGCCTCTCTCTGTTTACAAAAATTGCTGCAAGCACAGGAAAAGTCAGGTTACTTACCTGTAACTGTCGTTCTTCGAGTGGTCATCTGTGCAGTCACACATAATGGGTGCATCACACATAATGGGTACTGCGCCTGCGCAGTGCCTGTTGCCGGTCAGACTACCCAAGCTGCAACGGTTTTTGGTGGGAACTCCGCACCCCTCCCCCTGGTGCTATATAAGGCGGAGCGCCCGCCACTTTCCTCAGTCTCTGGAGACTGGCAGATCGCCCCCTAGCGGAGCGCGCCAGCTAGCAGAGGAGAGGAGATAAAGAGACTACCATCCCGTCCCTCGACACCGAGTGGGGCTGGAGGGCAGGTTGTGTGACTGCACAGATGACCACTCGAAGAACGACAGTTACAGGTAAGTGACCTGACTTTCCTCATTGTGGTCTCTGCGCATCACACACAATGGGTGATTAGTAAGCTTCACTCACTGGAGGTGGGTCGGTGTTGTCAGTGACGGATGGATGAAAGAATGGCCCGTCCAAAGGAGCAATCCTGCCTGGCCCGAACATCCGATCTGTAGTGCCTGGTAAAGGTACAGGGAGTTGTCCATGTAGCAGCTTTACAAATGTCCAGCAGTGGGACGCCCGACGAGAAGGCTGAGGAGGCTGCCACGGCCCTGGTGAAATGACCCCTGGGAGCAATGGGAAGATCTGTCTTGACCAGTTGGTAAGCCAGTTCAATGGTTTGTACTATCCATTTCAATAGTTTCTGGGCAGAGAGAGGTGCGCCCTTATCAGGTTCAGAGTATTTGACGAACAAGCGTTTAGTTTTCCTGAAACTCTCTGTGCGTGACCGATAGAAAGCTAGGTACCGGTACACATCAAGGGAATGAAGAGATTTCTCTATCGGAGTGGACAGGGACAGGAAAAACGCTGGAAGCACAATGTCCTGGTTAACGTGAAATGCTGTGGCCACCTTGGGGAGAAATGCCGGATCTGTACGCAGAACTACCTTTTCCTTGTGGAAGTTCAGGTATGGTGGGTCCACGCGGAGTGCGGAAAGTTTGCTTGCCCTCCTCGCTGAGGTTACAGCGACCAAGAAGGCTACTTTCCAAGATAGCAATCTCAAATCTGTTGTTGCGAGGGGTTCAAAAGGAGCTTTGGTAAGTGCATGTAGAACTACAGATAGACTCCAAGTCGGTATCAATGGACGGATCGGAGGATGGAGATTTTGCAGTCCCTTAAGGAAGCGTCAGATGAGCGCATGGGAAAACATGGATGAACCCGACAGAGGGCCGCAGAAATGTGATATAGCTGCAATGTAGACTTTGATAAAGGTGGGTTTGAGTCCAGACTGATGCAGAGAAAGCAAAAAGGAAAAGATGTTATCGATGGAAGCCGATTCCAGAGAAAAACGGTTAGCTTCCGCAAACGTAGTGAAACGTTTCCACTTCACCTCATACGATCGACGAGTGGATGGTCGAAGGGCAGACTGCAAGATGAACTCGAGTTCCTGTAGGGATGATGTAGGTTCAGAGGAGAGTCAAGCGAGTTCCCTCGGTACTGACTGACACTCTGGCATTGAAACCGAGGTGTTTCGCCAAAGTATGTGAGGGTCAGCAGAGGCAGTCAGTGCAGGAGCCAGGCAGTGAGCTTGAGAGTGCTGAGGTCAGGGCGAAGGATCGTCCCTCTCCCCGGTGCGATAAGGTGAGGAATTCGTGGCAGACGGAAGAAGGTATGTCTTGATAGCCTGAGAGCGGCTGAGAACCAGGGTTGATCGGGCCACCATGGTGTAATGAGGATGACCCGTGCTCGGTCCTGACCCGCCTTCTCCAGGGTACGGGTGATCAACGGAATTGGTGGAAAGGTGTACAGGAATGAATCCAAATCACCATCAAGGCGTCCCCTCGTGATTTCAGATCCATTCCCGCCCTGGAGCAGTAGGTCACGCATTTCGAATTTGAAGCTGTTGCAAACAGATCTAGTGTCGGGGTGCCCCACTGGAACAACTCTCTGCAAACTTGGTTGTCCAGTTCCCACTCGTGGGCTGACAACATCTTTCTGCTCAGGGTGTCTGCTTCTTGGTTGTGCATTCCTGCCAGATGGATTGCTGTGAGTGAAATCCCTCTGAGGATACACCAGTCCCAAATCTGAATGGATAGCTGAGCCAGCAGTACCAATTTTGTACCGCCCTGTTTGTTCAGGTAAAAAACTGTAACTGTGTTGTTGGAGGCTACCTGTACCGATTGGTTCTGTAATGTGGGTTCAGATGATCGGAGTGCCTTGAAAACTGCCAGCAACTCAAGAAAAATGATGTGATTGGACCTCTCGTGTGGTTGCCAGGTGCCCTGTGTTCACAGGTTGGAACAGTGTGCTCCCCAACCCGTGAGAGACGTGTCGGTATGAAGTGAGATGGAGAGTTGTTGCTGATGAAATGGAACGCCAACAGTGAGATTGTCTGG